GCGCTCGCCTGGCATGTGTGCGGCCCGGTTCGATCCTCAGCACCACATACCAACAAAGATGTTGTGTCCGCCCAGAACTGAAAAATAAATATTAAAATTCTCTCTCTCCCTCTTTAAAAAAATAAATAAATGAATGAATTCAGCAAAGTAGCAGGATATAAAATCAATACCCATAAATCAAATGCATTTCTATACACCAGTGATGAATCCTGTGAAAGAGAAATTAAGGAAACTACCTCATTCTCAATAGCCTCCAAAAAAAAAAAAAACCTCAATTTTTAAAAAGAGGTGAAAGACCTCTACAAACTACAGAACACTAAAGAAAGAAATTGAAGAATTTAGAAGATGGAAAGATATCTCGTCATTTTTTTAGTAACCGAAAGTGAAAAACAGAATGGTTGTATGGCTGTGATTTCATACGGACATAAAACGGGGAAGTTCTTAAGTTGAACAATCGTAAGTCAAGGTCGTACAGGCCGTTAGGAGTGAAGGCCAAGGGTGGGAGTAACTGCAGGCGCCGGTCTCGCGGTGAGGGCGGAAGGGAACCAGAGGTTGGCGGGAGCTGGCTCTAAATACAAGAACTGAGTCCTCCGGTCCCGCCCAGGGTCACAAGGTTGCTGGGATGATACACGGTAAGGCTATAGGAGACCTGACACTCCAGCTCAAGCTCCCGCCAGCCCGTGCTCCTGGACCGGGGCCCCTGCGCACGCGTAGAGCGCTAGCCGCGCGTCAGCGGCACTCTCGCGAGAAGAGCCTTGCGGGCCAGGAAGATGGCGCCCCCCAGTCCCCGGGAGCCCAAGTCCCCGTCGGCCACTGGTGCCACCAAGCCCGACAGTGACATGGTGCTGCCGGGCTTCCCGGACGCGGACAGCTTCGTGAAGGTGGGTTCGACGGCAGCCGCGCTCCCTGTCTGGGGCGGGAGGAGGCCGCGGGCCTGGGGAAGAGCCGCGCGCCGCAGCGGAGCCCGATGGGGACCGGGCCGCGAACGCCGGCGCCTGGGACGCCGCTCGCTGTGAGCCCACGCGGTCCGGGGGCGGAGCGCCGGCTGCTCGTCGCGGGGAGGGCCTCTGGGCCCCCGGCCGGCTCCCGGTCCCGGCCAGCTGCGCCTTCCGCACGGGCCCGCGGCCCCCTCGGAGGTGCCGCCTCGTCACCCCAGCATCCGTGCCCCAGAGCCGGGGCGCAGTATGAGGCCCTCCCCTGAGGGCACGCGGAGCTCCTTGGAGTTACTTGTGGGAGCCGACCTCCGGCCAGGCTTAGGCCTTAGGGTGGCCCTTTCCGAGCCGCGGCGCTGCCAGCCCGGCAAGTTTGCCACGGGGCCTGCAACCCCCGCTCCGCCGCCTGACCTGCGGCACCGTCCACTGCACTTCCCGGCCCCAGCGGGCCCCGAACCGCGAGGTGTGGTCCCGGGCGCCACCCACTACCACACGGCGACTTAATTGCCACCTCCTTTCTCATTTTTTGGCTGGAGGGAGACGTTTGTACACAAAGCTCGGAAGGCTGACATTTGGCCTACACTCGCCCGCCCCCTTTGTCGGTGACGGGTCCTTTCTCATGACCCAAGAATTTCAGTGGAGTGCTGCTTGGTAGCCACTGAGCCAGTTGTAAATCGGTCACCGAGCGAGTCTGCAGGACGCTTGTATTGATTTTAGGTGTCGTCAAGGTAAAAACACAGAAGCACAGTAAATCTTGTATAGAGCACATGGATTTGAACTTGGGTAATAATAGCATTGATGTGCCAGGTGCTGTGGGAGGTGATTTTATTAACTCATTCAATCCTCACAGCAACTTGTGGGGTAGATACTTTTTATTATGCCCATTTTTCTGAGGAGGAAACCAAGGTCCAAATAAGTGGAATAGCTTAACCAAAATCACAAATCATAGATGGTGGAGCCAAGAACAAACCTGGTCCATTTTAAATATAAGTTATTTTGTCTTTGGTCAGCAAGAGTCCACATACAAGATAATGTAGCCTAGTGATGTCACAGCTGTCTTAGTGTGTGTGTACTGGTCTGTGTGATGGTGAAATCACCAAATGAGGCAGAGGGACACATGACTTTATATGGCTTTGTGTTGTTTTGTTTTTGCAGTACTAGGGATTGAACCCTGGGCCTCACAGTGCTAGGCAGGCTTTCTTCCACTGAGCTACATCCCAGCCCCTGTATGTGTATGTGTTTTGTCACCCCCCCCCCCAGTCTTTCAGGAACATTGGCTCCAAACTGGGTTCTTTGGTTCATTGAATTCTCAGGACCAGAACAGGGCTGGGGGTAGAGTGGCACCAAGTGGGTTATTCATTGTGCAGATAAGATTGGATGCCTGGGCTGGGGATGTGGCTCAAGCAGTAGCGCGCTCGCCTGCCATGCATGTGGCCCGGGTTCGATCCTCAGCACCACATACAAACAAAGATGTTGTGTCCGCTGATAACTAAAAAATAAATATTTTTTTAAAAATCTCAAAAAAAAAAAAAAAGATTGGATGCCTATCTCTTTTCTTCAGTACTGGTACAACATGCTGTATGGGCAGATCTTCCAACAGGGACTTGCTGAGCAAATGCTGATCTGTGTTTTAAATGTGCTGTATATTTGGGGTTTTGACAGTTCGCTCTTGGATCAGTGGTGGCAGTCACGAAGGCATCTGGAGGCTTACCACAGTTTGGTGATGAGTATGATTTTTATCGAAGTTTTCCTGGCTTCCAGGCATTTTGTGAGACACAGGGAGACAGGTTGCTTCAATGGTGAGTACTATGTATTTTCTTGTATTAATGAAGGAAATGAAAACAAAGAGATGGATAATTTTTTTCTGAAATTTGTTTCTCCTCAATCATAATTTTGTGTACTATAAACAACGATGAAATGTAAAAATGACACAGTATATTTTCATTAAGGAAATAATTTTTAGTTTAACTTTTTTGTGTATGTGGTGCTGGAGATTGAACCCTGGGGCCTCATGCATGTCAGCAGATGCTTTATCACTGAGCTCCATTACCAGCCTTTTTTTCAATTTTATTTTATTTTGAAATAGGATGTTACTGACTTGCATAGGCCGGCTTTTTTTTTTTTTTTTTTTATGATATCAGTGTTTATTTATTTATTTATTTTTGAGAGAGGAGAGAGAGAGAATTTTTAATATTTATTTTTAAGTTCTCGGGGGACACAACATCTTTGTTGGTATGTGGTGCTGAGGATCGAACCCGGGCCTCACGCATGCCAGGCGAGCGCGCTACCGCTTGAGCCACATCCCCAGCCCCTTAGTTTAACTTTTAAAAAATATATCAACTTTTGCACTTTTAGGCAGCAGATCTTTTTGAATTAATATGGAACTTGAAAATCAGTGTATTTTAGGACAGATAATACATAAACATTAATTTTTGTTTAACTATTGTATGAAAAATTAGAAAAACTCACATTTGCCATGTTAAAACAATAAACACAGCATACATTATTAATATAGTATCATGTGACTGGGCACAATGACACATGCCTGGAATCCCGGCGGCTCAGGAGGCTGTAGCAGGAGGATTGCGAGTTCAAAGCCAGCCTCAGCAAAAGCAAGGCACTAAGCAACTCAGTGAGACCCTGTCTCTAAATAAAATACAAAATAGGGTTGGGAATGTGGCTCAGTGGTTGAGTGCTCCTGAGTTCAATCCCCAGTGTGTGTACAACACTCACACACATATATAAATATATATACATGTATATATATACATGTATATATATAATCATGTGTAAGAATCTTTGAGATAAGTTTCTCCTTCAAATCATGAGATAAAGATGCACAGACTGACCTTGGCTTTTCTCTCCTTAGCATGAGTAGGGTGATGCAGTACCATGGGTGTCGCAGCAACATTAAGGATCGGAGCAAGGTGACTGAGCTGGAGGACAAGTTTGATTTATTAGTGGACACCAATGATGTGATTCTGGAGAGAGTGGTGAGTACTTTGCCAGACACTTCACTGACAAATGAAGAGTGTTGTATGAAAGCAAGGAGTAACCCAGCACCTTAGAAAATGAAAAGGAAGTGATTTTAGCATTTGGTACAGGAACTAACTGCTCCTTCTGATAATTGGCATCTTTTTCTTCAAAAGTAACAACAGTTGTCTTTAAAATATCACTGGCTTAAAAAAAGAAAAAATCACTCCCTGGGGAAACCTCTTTGTTTTTTTTTTAAGTGTCTATGAATCTATTTTTCTGATTTGCAAATTCTGTTTGTATTGCAAGAGAGGCAGCCTCTGTACCAGCCCAGCCAAAATTTAGTTCTTTTTTATTGTTTTTCACAATCTGCCTCTAACACCCCAACCTGCAGAATTGAAAGGAGATTCATATCTATCTAGATCAATATCAATTTATTTCAAAGTCCATAGGAGAGCATTATTTATAGAAATACTCAGATCATCCAAGTAAGTCTAACCTTCAACCAGTGACAGCCCTGGAGATATTGACATCCTGCTCTCCTGTCCCAGGAGGTCATCTCTTCCCAGCCTAAATGCCCACAATCTTTTAGAGGAGTCTCTTTAGGTCCTGCCATTCTATCATCTGTCACGTGGGTGCATTTCTTTTAATAGTGCACAAACTGATTTTCCACGCCTGTTTGTACACATTAGACAGGCTACCGTTATTCTCATTCTAACTAGTGTACTTCCCCTGGCACTCACCTCTTCCCTGTACTGGGAACAAAACCCAGGGTTGTGTGCATACTAGGCAAGTGCTATACCACTGAGCTACACCCTCAGCCCCTATACTTCTTTATTTAACAGACACAGTCCTCTATCTTTATTTTAGTGGCCACATTACATTGTGAAATCATATTTGGACATTCAGCCAAGTTCATAGCTATAGAGGGTCAATCAGGTCAGGAGTTAGTAATTACTGCCCTACCTATCTGTGAACATATAATGCTTCAGTTGCTTGGTATAACTCCCTAATCACCCCACCTCTCACACAGTGATGCACATTTGTGTGTGTGTGTTTGCATGTGTGTGTGCATGGAGGGTGTAAGGCAAGTGCTCTACTTCTGGACCACAACCCCAACTCCCTAACTTTACCACTGAGCTACATCATCAACGTTTTTTGGTCTGGTTTGGTTTGGTACTGAGAATTTAACTCAGAGGTGCTCAACCACTGAGCCATGTCCCTACTCCTTTTTTATATTTTATTTAGAGACAAGTTCTTGCTTTGTTGCTAAGTGCCTCGCTAAGTTGCTGAAGCTGACTTTGAATTCGAAATCCTTCTGCCTCAGCCTCCCAAGCTGCTGGGATTATAAGTATGTGCCACTGCACCTGGCCATCATCAACCTTTTTTACTTTAAAAAAAAAATGTCTCTGGGCTAGGATTGTGGCTTAGTGGTAGAGCTCTTGCCTAGCACATCTGAGGTACCTGGGTTCAATCCTCAGCACCATATTAAAATAAATAAATAAGATAAAGGTATTGTGTCCATCTATAACTAAAAAAAATTAAAAAAAAAAAAGTCTCACTAAGTTGCTAAGGCTGGCCTCAAGCTTGTGATCCTTCTGCCTATGCCTCCCAAGTTGCTTGGATTATAGGTGTGCACTGTGGCAAAAATAAAAAAAGGTTATTTTTTGATTGACAAATAAAAACTGCATATACTTAAGGTATGTTTTCGTATGTGCATTGATACGTACATATTCTCTCACATAATTCTGCAAATAAATTTCTTAAAAATGTCAGGGAATTAACTTTGCTAACCTCAAAAGGAAGATACTAACCTAATATCTCATTTGCTCTTAGGGTATTTTGCTGGATGAAGCATCAGGTGTGAATAAGCATCAACAACCTGTCCTCCCTGCAGGACTACAGGTCCCCAAAACAATAGTGTCCAGCTGGAACCGGAAGGTGAGGGCATCTTTTCAGTTTTGATGAGGGCCTTCATGGAAGCTTTTTCAAAGGGCTCTTGCCCACTCGAATGTGTACTTCTGTCTGACTTGCTGGGCAGAGCTGGCACTGCCTCGTTTAGCTTGTTCTCATAAATATATAGAGCCTGACTCCACCCCTTCCACTTTGCACTCCTAGTCTCCCATGCACAGACATTCTAAATGAAATGAGTAGCTCTCAAAATGTTTTTATCTCCTTGGAAGACCATCAACTGGAATTTACTTTTTTTTTTTTCCTGGTATTAAAGATTGAATGCAGGGGATGTACTACCACTGAGCTACACCCCTAGTCCTTTTTATCTATTATTAAAATTGTAAGATAGGATCTTACAAAGTTTCCAAGGCTAGCCTTGAACTTATGATCCTCCTCAGGATCAGACTTCCTCTTGCCTCAGCCTCCCAAGTCACTAGCATTATAAGCATGCACTACCATGCCTGGTTATAGTTTGCTTTTCTAACTCATCAGGTTGCTGTGGCATAAGACATTTGTATGCATTGATCACAGGCAGGAGAATATGGCAGGAAAGCAAAATCTGAAACTTTTCGACTACTTCATGCAAAAAACATTATCCGACCTCAACTCAAGTTTCGAGAGAAGATTGACAATTCCAACACTCCGTTTCTTCCAAAGATCTTCGTCAAGCCCAATGCTCAGAAGCCGCTCCCTCCACGTGAGTATTGCACATGCTGCTGTGTGTGAATCTTCTCTTCCGTCTGATGCCAAAGGCAGCAAAGGGGTGAAGGTCTCTCTGCCTTCCGTTCTTCAAAGGGAGTCAGTGATACCCGGAAAGCTAGAAAAGACCTTAAGGTGTGTGTCCCTTTGTGATGGTGTTTTTGTCACTGCTTGGATCTCCAGCTCTTTCTAAAGAAAGGCGGGAACGCCCCCAGGACCGTCCTGAGGACTTGGATGTACCCCCTGCCCTGGCGGATTTCATCCATCAGCAGCGAACCCAGCAGGTTGAGCAGGACATGTAAGAGTTTGCCTGTGTCTAAGCCTTCTACTCAAATTTTTGATTCATTTTCACTTGGTTTCACTTTTATAAAATGTGTATGTGAAAAAGTCAAACAGGTGGTTTTTGCCTCATTCTCACACAAATATTAGCAACTGAGCATCCTGTTTGTGTTCACAGAGACCAACATAGCACTGTCCCAGGTTACCCTCACCAGGTACCAAGCAGTGGCAGGTACTCTAGCTCCCATTTGCTATGATATTAAAGATGCTGACTTCCCCAAGACTAGAACTGCAAACCCCCATTTTCTTCAAGTTGCCTTTTGCCCATGCTATCCTGCCTTTTCACAGGAGTGACTCGCCTTAAGGTGAGGCAAAGAATAGGGTTGTTCACTGGCAGCATTGGCATCTTGCGAAAACTTCACTTCAAATAGATAAATGGGCAGGAATGCTGTTTAGTGGCAGTGTGTGCCTCGCATGTGCAAGGCCCTGGGTTCAGTCTCCAGCATCAAAAACACAGCAAGAAGGTGTACACTTATAGTCCCAGTTACTTGGGAGGGTCACTTGAGCTCATGAGCTTGAAACCAGCCCAGGCAACATAGCAAGATCCCATCTCAAAAAAGGGAGAGAGAATAGACATATGGGGTTTGGCATAATGAAGTTGGCTTTGCCTCTTTCTCACACATAGCCAGGGGCTGTTTACATTCATTCCTTGCCCCCTCTCTGCACTGTGAGGCCAGACTAAGTTGCTGGAGAAATAGAAGGAATGAAAGGTAACTCTGCCCTCAAACTCACCACAGGCTCGGGATGTTTATGCAAATTCAGGAGAGAAGAAGGGAAAAAACATTTAGCCCATGGTCAACCAGAATATTTGCCCCACTCTCTCTCAACTTCATCAATTTATTTTTCCAAACCATAAGGAATTATGAATTTTTCATTTTTGTGTCATCTACAACACCAACCATCCAGTGTTTGCAAGAAAGTACTCACATGTTCGTCAAGTCTCAGTTCTTCAATTCTCCCTGAAGAAACGGACAAATTGTCCTGTGGTCAGGGCCATCACACATTGCCTTATTTATTTGATGCTCATGAATTATCACTGCACCAATGATGCTTTGGCAAAGGGAAGGTAGTTTCACAATGCTTGGTTCTCACTTGTTTTTACATGTTGTATCAGAACAGCTTTTCCTTTGACTGATGGAATTAATCAAATGGTTTCTTTTTGTTTTATTGATTAGGTTTGCACATCCTTATCAATATGAACTAGATCACTTCACACCCCCAGAGTCAGTGCTTCAGAAGCCACAACCCCAGGTTAGTGCCCAGTTATAGTGATGTCAGAGGGGCCTGGGAAGAAGAGTGAAAGCAGATTATTTGATCTAATTTTGACTTTCCTTTAATATGTTTAAAGTAGGGAGTTTAGGCCACTGCTTGGACTCATAGTTTGCTTGGTATTTTAGTGAGGGTGGTTTTAATATTCTTTTCTTTTTCTCACTGTACTTGCTCCAGTTGTACAGACCTGTAGAAGAAACACCCTGCCATTTTGTATCCTCCCTGGACAAACTTGTGGAACTCAACGAAAAACTCTTGAATTGTCAAGAATTTGCTGTAGACTTAGAGGTATCTTGTAATTGACCCTTGAGTGAAATTTTTACATTTTCGGGAATTCACTTACTTGAGAAGTAGGAAATTAGCACAAATTTTAATGGAATTTTTTGCTGCTGTATAATTGATTTCAAAATTGGTGGAGGAGGAGCTGGGGCATAACTCAGTGGTAGAGCACATGCTGATTAGCATTCACAAGGTCCTGGGTTCCGTCCTCAGCACCAAATATAAGTTAATAGATAAAACAGTTGGTAAAGGAAAGGCTAGCGGATACCATCCTCCCGTCCCCTCCCTCTCTCTGTCTTAGCACCACTCTTACAGGAGCTTCCTGGGACTCACCTGCCTGATGCAGATTTCCACCCGAACAGAAGACTTCATCGTGGACACCCTGGAGCTTCGCAGTGACATGTATATCCTCAACGAGAGCCTCACAGACCCAGCTATTGTTAAGGTCAGCCGGCCCTCTCCAGCTCCAGCATGTGAGGTGGGGTTGCAGTCTTTCACCTAGAGCACACGGTTAAAAGAAATCATGTCATTTCCTGCCCTGCACATGCTAACTTCTTGTCTCTAGCTTGCTGCTACTTGGAGCCGGGGTCATGTTAGCGGCTGCAGCAAAGAGCCTAATCCATCAGGATTGCATGGACTTGAGGACTTGCTTAGAGCCCATAGAGCTGCTTCAGCCTGTAACCTTGTATAATACAAGTACAGACAAAGGCTGGGCCCTAAATTAAAGGAAACATTTAAAACCACATGCATCTTCATCTCCAGGCTGGCCTCCAATCCCAGGCGCTGATGGCCTTGAGGCAGCTTTGTCTTCAGAGACAGGGGCTTCTGTTGGTGTATCACATGGCGTTGGTTTTGTTTTCAGGTCTTCCATGGTGCCGATTCCGACATTGAGTGGCTACAGAAAGACTTTGGGCTATACGTAGTAAACATGTTTGATACCCACCAAGCAGCACGCCTTCTTAACCTGGGCAGGCACTCGCTCGATCACCTGCTGAAACTCTACTGCAGCGTGGAATCAAACAAGCAGTACCAGCTAGCTGACTGGAGGATACGGTTAGTTTGCACTTGGCAGGAAGTGTGGGTGGCAAGATCGAGGCCTGGGGTCCACTAACCTCTTGCCGGGAAGAATATGTTCAGGTTACTGCTTTATTTCAAATGAGTGTATTAGACTTTTCCTGGGAGTTTTTTGCAACACAAATAGAAAAGTTTAGGATGGAAATGTGGAGTTTATATCAGGTTGGTTGTTACACTTTGCTTCTTGGAAGTAGTGATTGAAAAAAGAAGCATGCCTTGTCAGCATTGACCAGTGCCATTCTGCCTTCTTTGCAACTCTGCTGGCTCTAGCAGGGATGAGTTATCTCCTGAGGTGTGAGAGAAAGCTCAGGTGCACAGTTGATTTAGTAGCACAGGGTTGTAGCAGTTTTACCCTGCTTTCTGGAAACCACAGCCCCAGGTTTGATCATGGCTGGCTACCTCCCTGAGGTACCGTGCCTTGTAAGATGCCTCTGAGCTTCTCTCCATTTCAACATGTGTGAATTTCTAAATAGTAACAAAATTTATTTGGACCAACAAAGTTCACATATGGTCTGGTGATGGCATCACCTGTAATCCAGCAGCTCAGGAGGCTGAGGCAGGAGGATCACAAGTTCAATGCCAGCCTCAGCAACTTAGGCCCTAAGCAAGTTAGTGAGACCCTGTCTCTAAATAAAATACAAAAAAGAGCTGGGGATGTATATGGCTTAGTGGTTAAGTGCTCCTGGGTTCAATCCCTAGTACCAAAAAAAAAAAAAAAAAAAAGTGCAAGAAATGTTGGTATGACCATAATAACTGGCTTTAAAAGACTCTTTGAAACCAGAAGGGTTCAAGAAAGCCCTAGCATCCAGTGAGTAGACAGAGTGGATTGCTATCCCTGGGGCAGTAAGCAGAACCAAGCCCTGTGTTTAAATTCTAGCCCTCTGCCTGAAGAAATGCTCAGCTATGCCCGGGACGACACCCATTACTTGCTCTACATCTACGACAGAATGAGGGTAGAGCTGTGGGAGCGAGGTGGAGACCAGCCTGTCCAGTTGCAGGTGGTGTGGCAGCGGAGCAGGGACATCTGCCTCAAGGTACACCAGGCCCACACAAGCCCCACAGTCAGCACTCACTTCTGATTAGGATCTAGTTCTCACTTTTGTTCTTCACTTCTGTGACAAGAGCCAAACATTTTCAAGAGCCCAGGGCACAATTTTCAATCTATTGATCTTGCATATTTAACATTCTGCAGAAATTTGTCAAACCTGTCTTCACTGATGAGTCCTACCTTGAACTGTATCGGAAGCAAAAGAAGCATCTCAACTCGCAGCAGTTGACAGCTTTCCAGCTGCTTTTTGCCTGGAGGGATAAAACAGCTCGAAGGGAGGATGAAAGTTATGGGTAAGGGAATTCAGAGTCCTTTAATCCTTTCTTCTAGGCTGGGCTTGTCTGTTGACAGGAAAGGGACTTTGTAGCCCTGGGATGGAACCCAGGAGCACTCCACAATACTGAGCGACATCGGGCTGGGGATGTGGCTCAAGCGGTAGCGCGCTCACCTGGCATGCGTGCCGCCCGGGTTCGATCCTCAGCACCACATACCAACAAAGATGTTGTGTCCGCCGAGAACTAAA